AGTCTGAAGGTATGCCCAGCTGTAAAACCCTAAGAGGTCACTATATAAAGAAAATTTTCTGGAGGGCAGGTATAGGGATCCACTATCTCACAGCTGCCAGAGAAACCACCTGAGATCTTGCTTCTGTTTGTAAGTCCCTATGAAATGAGGGTTTTTTTGTTTTTTTTTTTCTCTGAGAAACTGGATTTGGCAGCTGCTTTCTCTGGCCCCTCAGCTCCCTCATCTGGGGAGTAAGTTTGCACAGCCTACTCACTGCTGAACAATGGCTGACAAGGGTCAACATGGTCGGCCTTCCTACCTCCACATCTTCCTGACCTCATCTATTAGTAGCAGCCACCTCTCTTACACAACTCCAGCCATTTCTGGTTGTTCTTGGAACACAGTGAGCACACGCCTCCTCCCCCTGCCTTACCTGAGCCTTTGCATTTGCTGTTCCCTCTGCTTGGAATTTAATTCTCCCAGTTACCACACAGACACTCTCTTAACCACCTCAGGCCTCTGCTCAAATGTTTACCTTATCTGTGAGGTCTTTCCAGATTCCCTATGTGTAGGGATCCCTTATTCCCTACTGTAATACCTTCTGTATTTCCTTGATAGCACTGCTTATAGTCTGTACTTATGTCATGTTTGTTCAAAATGTTATCCTAGTATGCCTGGTACATAGTAGGGCTTTATAAATATTTAGTTGAATGAATGAGTTGAGGTTGAGGATGCAGGAGGGAGGCAGTTGCCCTCCAGGATTTACTGCCCCTTGTGGGTTTAGGCAGGATGCTTATAGGAACCTGGAGTGGGAGGTGGGGAGAAAGGTGGTGGGAAGCAGAGAGGCCCTGTGTGTTAGAGGAGGGGAACGAGTATCATGATGAGTGCTGGTCCCAGGGCCCTTGCACCTCCAATTCCTGGTCTAAGGTATGGGTGGGGCAGAGGTAGATCTGGGCCAGAATCTGATTAAGAAAATAGCAAGTTTTGCCAGAGGAATCAGGCAAAATGGAAAGGGTGGAGTGGAGGATATGTGGATGGGAACTACTGGCTTTGCCTTGGATGTGAGGGCCAAAGTTTTGCTCTATGAGAGGGGACAGTGGAACTGGACCTTGAAGAATGAGTAGGAGTTTGCTGGGTGAAGATGAAAGAAAGGCATTTTGACCTTGAGAGAAGGGCTGCAGGGTATGAGAAGGCAGAATAGCTCAGAGAATGATGAACTATCTGATGTAGCAGAGGAAGTGAGACAAAGTGGTCAGAAGCTTATTGTCCGAGAAGCCTTAAATACTAGGCAGTGGTCAGGGAACCCATCCTGAGAGCCCTAGGGACCACGGAAGGATTAAAACAAGGGAATGAGAGATTCCTTTAGTTGCCCTAAAATGGGCTCTAAAAATGCTTAGGCGGCAGAACCCTAGACACAGTGATGAGTAGGATGGGAAGGATGGGGGAGGGTCGGGTCTCTGGTTTCCGAGAAGGACCTGGGATGGAGGGAAAACAGCTAGAGTTAGTTCTGGGCCAGGTGGGCTGGGGTACTCTGGGCCGGGGATCCTGCGTCTGGCTCCCCTCCTGGAGAGAGACTTTGCTGTCCCCTTGCTCAGGACTGGGACCCTGGGCCACAGAGACCTTATCCTACAAGGAGCCTGTCTCAAGCTTTTCTTTCTTTCTTTCTTTCTTTTTTTTTTTTTTTACAAACCCTTGTGTGGAGGGCTGACTTTCAACAGATCGCAGCGAGGGAGCTGCTCTGCTAGTAGGTAACCCCGACCCAGAAGCAGGTCGTCTATGCATAGTTTAGCACCAGTTCCCCACTAACGTGCATTACGTGACAGGTGAAGGGGCCAGCGTTTCCCAGGATGTCTCAAGCTTTTCATGATCTACTACACTTGGGCCTCGTCAGAAGAGGGTCTCTTGGCAGAAGAGGTGAGCTGGGGGACAGGGTAGAGCCTGGGCCTTGAAGCATGAAAAGGAAAAATCAGACTGGCAGCTTTGGGCCACTTCCCTTAGCTGCTGTTAACCCTCCCCCCCCCCCATCACCACGTCCCCTACCCTTTTGGTCAGAAGGTCCAGGCAGGAGCTGCTTTGGTTGCTACGACCCTGAGGAGGTGGAACTGTTGGTCTTGGGGGGACCGACCGTGCCAGAGAGGGAGACCCCATTGGGACAAGGGGTTACATCCTGTTCGGGCACTAAGGTGAGTGTACCAGCGGCTGGTGGATGTGCGGCGGCGGTGGGCGTGGGAGCCGAGACTCTTTGGGTGAGTGTGGATTAGGGATGAGGGCCTGTGCCCACAGCTCTCGGTATTTTTCCACCCGCTCTGGTGCCTAATGGCTTCCCTGGCTGTCGGTCATCCTCCTCCACTCCCGCCTATGATCGGCCTGGACCAAGCCTGGAGGCGGAGAGGGAAGGGCGGAGTCTTCACTGCCCCGCGGTGAGTGCTCAGGGCGCTGCCATCAGTCCCGGCCAGTCCGGCATGCCTTGGCTGCTCACGCTCAGACCCTTTGCGGAGCTGATGGAGACAAGGGGTCCGGGGTCACCTGCAGGCCCAGGACTCCAGCCCCGCCCTCCTAGCCTCCCTTCTCTGGGGGCACCTGCTAGAGCCTGGGCTGTCATCTCTCAGGAAAGGGAGCAGGCCGCAGGAGCCTAGAAGGAATCCCTAGAACAAATCTAAGCAAGAACAAAAGCTCTGTGAAGAAAACTGAAATAAAAATTTACAAGAAGACTATATAACATCTGAACGGATGCAGGATAAGTACAGATCACAGTCCTGTCCTGGAGGAAAGGACTGTATGCCACTTCTCCCCAGTGAATATCTAGATTCAAGACAACTGACATGGTTCAAAGAGGTTTGTTTCCCCTGAGCCTGACCCAGGAGTGTAAACTTCTCACAGTTGGAAACATACAAGAATAGCTTGGACATGCTTATAAATGAATAACAAGGAAGACGGATTGACTGTTATACTCAACAGGGCAGTAACTAAACCAATGTGATATTGTCATATGCATAGGAAAGCAGATCAGAGGAATGGAATCCTGAAACAAAAATTCTTACAAGAACATGGAAAGTTCCTATCAATCATTAAAAAGAAGGGCTCAGTGGCTCTGCGCCCATAGCACAGTGCCAGTCACATGCTGAGGGTAGCAGGTTAGAACCTGGCCTGGGCCAGCTAACGCACAATGACAACTATAACAACAACAACAACAACAACAACAAAAAAAATAGCTGGCATTATGGCGGGCACCTGTAGTCCCAGGTACTTGGGAGGCTGAGGCAAGAGAATCGCTTAAGCCCAAGAGTTTGAGGTTGATGTGAGCTGTGACGCCATGGCATACTACCAAGGGCGACATAGTAAGACTGTCTCAAAAGAGAGAGAGAGAGAGAGAAAAAAAAGAAGGAGTCGGTGCCTATAGCTCAGCGGCTAGGGCACAGGCCACAGGTTAGAATCCAGCTTGGGCCTGCCAAACAACAATGACAACTACAACCAAAAAATAACTGGGTGTTGTGGCGGATATCTGTAGTCCCAGTTACTTGGGAGCTGAGGCAAGAGAATTGTTTAAGCCCAAGAGTTTGAGGTTGCTGTGAGCTGGGATGCCACAGCACTTTACCAGGGGCTACATGGTGAGACTCTGTCTCAAAAAAAAAAAAAAAAAAAGGAAAAAAAAGAAGTTAAACAGAGAAATTTCCTTTCATAGAAGCTATCTCATTATAAAATGATATGTGTATTATAGAAAACCTAAAAATGGAATGTAAGAAATCTAAAGAAAATAAAACCCCCCATCATTCTCAATAGCCCCCCCCCCCAAGAAGTTAAAGCTCAGAAAAGGAGTGAAAGGTTTAGGGTACTTCACACAAGAGACAACTTAGAGAGCTAACTACCGGAGAGTGAGGTCCACTCTGTTCCCTGTTGTTCTGTCTACGTTAGGGATCCAATGAGCACCCCATAACTGTGCTGAATGACTGCTCATCACTGGTAATCAGAAAAATGCACATTAAAACAATTACCACATTTCACTTATCAGATAGGCAAAAATGAACAAAAAAGTATCTTGTATTGACAAGAGCTGGAGTTGATCACTGTCCCATGCTGATGGTGAGAATGTAAATTGATAAGTCTTTTGTGCTTTGTGATAACACAAAATTGAAAATAGCACAAAGGTACATTGCTTGGGGTGGATGAATAAAATGGGTCAGTTTCTTGTCCAAAGCAAGCAAGCTAGAGGGTAGATCCACCTGACCCAGAGTCCAGGAATAGCCACAATTCACCAACTCTGATATCATTTATACAGTGTGAATTTGTACCATGTGTGCAACCAGGGCGTGAAAAGGCCCAAGGCAGACCCGCTGTGCGGAAACCGCGGAGCCATCGCGGAGGGTTGGAACTTAACTCCTTCACTTTGGAGATAGGAGGGAGCATCTTGGAGGGGAAAGCGGCCCTGGCAAGTGTTCTTTTCTAAAACCTCTTCTCTCTATGGAAAATTAAGCGTGCCCCCTAGTGGAGGGAGAGAAGGAAGGTAAGAAGGGGTCTGGAAAGAGAATAAAGTCGGCGGCGGCCAAGGAAGGGGGGCGGAAGAGAATACTAGAAAGTGCATATGACCTGTGGTGGTCCCAGCATCTCCTCTCCCAGCCACGTTCTCCTGCCTGTGGAGTGACCTGTCCCGAGGCTGCTAGGGGCTGCCCTCGCTATGTTGATGGCCACTGGGGCCCTTATTGACTGTGCTCAGCTTTGCATACACGGTTCCCCTACCTGGTAAAGCTCTTGCCTTCCTCATCTCTTGGGTCTCAGCTGACACCTTCGCTGACCTCTTGACATCGCGTTGCAGTACCTCAGACCTCGCCTTCTATTAATGGAGCTGCCCCTTGTGGATTGAGGGCTGCCATCCACCCAGGCTGTGGCCCCCTTAAGGGTGGCAGGGTGCCTGTTTTGCTCAACATTCCGCCCAGTGCCTGGGACATGCCTGGCACCTGAACAGATGTTACTGACTCGGGTGTCAGAGCCCGCGCTGGGGGGTGGCAGGCCAGGACAATGACAGGTTCAAGGCACAGCAGAGGGATTTTATTAGAAAGGCAGGGAGAGACACATATTTACATGAGCCGCGAGGGGCGGGTCTGGTATCCCGGCTTAGACGATTTCCACCTTGGCGTTGGGATACACCGCTACCACGTCGTAGCCTTCGGGCGGCTTGACCCGCGCCTTGGCGTGGCTCTCACAGTAGAGCCGCTCATCCAGGAAGAAGTAACCGCGCTGCTTGAGGTTCAGGCCGCAGTCGCTGCACATGAAGCATTCGGGGTGGTAGAGCTTGTCCCGCGCCTTGACGATGGTGCCCCTGATGGTGGGAACGGGAGAGGACAGAGTGAGGTGACTGTCGGGTTCACCTGCACGCCCCCATCCAGGGACTAGAGAACTGGAGACCCGGCCGGGCGGCGAGGGGGGTACTCACACGATGCCGTGGCCGCAGCGCGTGCACTCGGGCAGCCCCTGCAGGCCACTCAGCGGAGCACCCAGCTTGCCAGCCGCGGGCTTGAGGTTCCGGGGCCCGCCAGGCCCGGGCCGTTCCCCTGAAACCCAAAGTGTAGGTGGCATGAACCAGGTGAGGAGGTCAGAACTCCATTTCTGCGGGGTGTTCGGTTCGACCCCGCTTCCGGCGCCATCAGGACTGAAACTGGGGAGTGGTTTTGGCGGGCGTAGGCGCAGTGATGGGGGTGGGGGGTGAAAAGGGAATCAGAAGGCGCGGGCACAGCGAGGGTATGGGCACAGGGACGGCAGTGGAGACCGTAGAGGTGCAGATGAGTGGCAATTGAAACCTGCTGTCACTAGGGGGTGCAAGTGGCTGGGGATGGTTCCGGGTACCGCAGGGAGAGGGAAGGCAGGTGGGGTCAGGTGGCAGTAGTCTTACCGCCCTCACCGGCCTCTAGCATGCCCTGCAAGTAGCGGAAGGAGCCTGACTGCTTGGGCTCGGCGGCTGCGGGCTCGGCGGGCTCCCGCAGCATCCTGTACACCTCCGAGCCCAGGTCCACTCTGCAGTCCCGGGTCCACGGGAGGCCTCTGGCTGGGTCGGCGCTGAAAGATGGAGGAGGAACAGGGTTGCAGGAGCACCCGGGTCTGGCTAGGTTTTGTGAATCAGAGTGCAACCAGCTGAGACTCAAGAATTAAGTCTCGGGGGTCAGGATGGGACTTTATTTTTATTTTTTTGTAGAGAAAGAGTCTCACTTTTTCGCCCTTGGTAGAGTGCAGTGGAGTCGCTCCACTCACAGCAACCTCCAACTCCTGGGCTTAGGAGATTCTCTTGCTTCAGCCTCCCAAGTAGCTGGGACTACAGGTGCCCGCCACAACGCCCGGCCATTTTTTGTTGCAGTCTGGCTGGGGCTGGGGTTGAACCCGCTACCCTCGGTATATGGGGCTGGCGCCCTACTCACTGAGCCACAGGCGTCTCCCAGGATGGAACTTTAGTGATATTTAAGGGATCAGAGATTAAGGACGGGATCTGGGTGTGGCTCCCACAAGCCAGGACTCCGTACTACCTGGGGGGTGGAGACACGTGTAGCGCGCTCATCTGGGCTGGCAGGGTGGCCTCACTGTTGTTGCCGTTATAAGGGACAGGAAAGCGAGGGGGCTGCCCAGACGGAGATCCCAGGCTTGGTCTGCCATCTTCTGGCCCGATCCCGGTGCTTGAGGGCCGCCTGCTGTTGATTGGACTGCCATCCTATGAGAGAGAGAGTCCTAAGGCCCTGGGAGATCCTCTGGCTTCTGGCCATTCCTTGTTCACTCCACCTCCACCCAGCTATGCCAGGTGGTGGATGTAAGCTGGCTACCTCTGTTCTGGCCTCACAGAGCTATGATGCCCAGCCAGGGAAGGGGCTTTTAGGGAAGAGCTGAGCCTCAGATCTGGTTCAGCCCCTGCAGAAATAGAAATGCCTTTGGAAAGTCTGACATGAAAACCTGAGCACCTGAGACTGTGAGCTCCAGTGGTGGTTCTCTGACTACCAGTGTCTGTGAGGGATAATGTTGGGGCAGGCCTATACCAAGAAGCCTTTTAAGGCCAGTGTGGCTATTCCAAAGTGTGTGGCTTCCTGAAAGAGGTGGTCTAGGTTAGGCATCCTCAAACTACAGCCCCTGGGCCACATGCTGCCGCCTAGGACATTTACCTGGCCTGCTGGGTGTTTTTTGCCACCACTGCCTGTCCTGCTTAGCAGCTGACTCATCCTGGGGCTCTCAGTCCAGCCCTCCAACAGTCCGAGGGACAGTGAACTGGCCCCTTGTTTAAAAAGTTTGAGGATCCATGGTCTAAGTGCTTAGCCTTCCGACCTGCCACAACCATGCTGGGTCTTGGCTGGGAAAACAAGGTATCACTCCTGTCTTGCAGCCAGGAAAGGTTGGGTGTCCAAAGGCCCTTGGGGTGGGCTGAGGCTCAAGAGTGCTGCTATGAGGTCAGCTTCTTTTGGGCCTGCACTGCACCCCCATTTCCTGCTTCCTAGGCCACAACGGGTAGCCCTATACTGTAGGCACTGCAGGTGAAGGGCAGAGGCTGGATCAGGGCTCAAGGTCCCCTGTCCCCAGTACTCCATGGCCAGCCTGGTGCCCATGGCTGAAACATTTTGGGGAATGCCCTGAACATGCCCCCTCAACTCATAAGGAGAGGGCAGTGTCTCTGTGGGTGTGAGTGTGAGTGTGAAGTAGGATCTTTGTCCCTGCTGAGTCCAGAGTTGTGCTGCCCCCAACTTGAAAGCACACACAAGCACACTATCAGTAATGTGAATGGGGTATGCACACTCTCACAAGTATGTTTAAAGATATACATGTGTAAGGATAACATGCATGCACTAACCAGCTCACCTACACATGACTAATCACATATACATGGTTATATGTACTGGGAGGCAGCACAGGACACCGTGCGATGGCTATGGTGGCCTCCATGGCTGAGACCGGATAGCATCCACAGCAACTTGATTTAGGATGAGTCTTAAGTCCACACCATGATGTGGGTCTTGGCCTCAGCTTGGGAGGTGACATGTAAATCTCTGCTCTGCTCTCTGAACAGAGAGACTGGGTGGGGAGGAATGGTTGCCTACCCCAGCAAGAAAGAAACTTGGTTTGCACTCAGCCAGCCTCTAGCCCTAAGGCATAGTCATCCTGTAGGGCTATGCTGTACTGTCCCCTGCTTTCTTCTGGATAGGAGTTGGGGAGTGGGTAGGCCAGCAGTTGGGTATGGGCTCCCCATTTCCTCTACCCCAACGGATGAAGCCTAGGTGGGCCCCCATCAATGGAGCAGAAGCAGCACTAACAGCAACAACAGGAAGACTCCCATCCCCATCAGGCCCAACAAAAGCCCCTAAGAAACCTGAGTACTCTCACACATGTGTCTGTCGGGCAGGCAAGCAGGGCTGGCCTCTAATGGGGACCAGATGGGCTGTGGTTGGTGGGGGTGGGGGTGGGCCTCAGGAGGAAGCTTCAGTGAGAAGGGGGACTGAGAGGAAGAGGCCCTTACTCACCCACACACAGCAGGGTGTGGGAGTCTATTGCAGGGTCATCAGAGCCATCGCCCCTCCCATGGCCACCCATGCAGCAGACTCTCTAGGTCTGAACTCAGTGATTAGGACACAAGTGGTGACCTCAGTTTTGGTGTGAGTCTCAGTCTTAGTTCTTTGGTGTGAACTAAGGAATGCAATGGTTTCTATATCAAGTTCCTTGTGGGGATTAAAAAAACATTTGCATACAGAGCACTTAGCATATGGCCTGGCACATGGCAATGACCCATGGGATGAATGGCTGCCATGGGAATTCCTGAGCACTCATTCCTGGATTTCCCCTCTCTGTGTGGTGGTATACCTTGTACCCCATGCTCCCTGCTTCTAAGTACCACAGGCTGACTTGTTTGTTGAAGCCTCAGTGGGTTTTTCAGCAGAATGGGGGGGTAACTACCTGATCGCTCATCAGCCCCCACATGACTAAGATCAGATCAGGGACACTTAACTTGGACAGAGGCAGGCAGCATTTCTCAGAGGCTAAGTTCCAGCTCTCTGCCAGTCTGGAGAGAACAGGCTGAGTGCACAAGGACTGCCTGCTCCTACTGGCTTACTGCTACCCATCACCTGATTCTGAGCTTCAGTGCTACTCCCTCCAGGAAACTTTTCCTTATCATCACTCTTCTTCCACCCTGGCCTGAGCTAAGAGTCTCTTGTCCTCCCACATGAGGTCAAAGAGCAGGAGGGTCTCCTCTGGCACTCCCAGGAAGGTGGGCCTGAAGCACTAGTTGGTCCTGTCTCATCCCACTTGGGGATATGTGCCAGGGGCACCTTATGCTGGTCCTTGGGCCAAGTGTAGTTTCCTCCTTCTCTGATGGCACCAGCTAGCTCCCCCAACCCCCTGCCAAACGCCCCTGGCAGGCAGAGGGTGGGAGCAGCATGGGGACAATGGGCCCTGTGTCTGTGTTAGTGAAGACTCAGCCCTACAAGGGCCAGGCGGGGTGTTTTTGTCGCCACCCATGGAGCCCATGACCTTTTAAGTACAAAAGTGGGGCAGCAGCTGAGGGGCTGCCCTGTTGCCTGTGGAAAATCCCTCCCCCCGCTAGCCTGAGCCACTGGCAGCCGGGGCTTCGAAGGACTCATTGAGGATAAGCATGGGGGCAGGGAGAGCTGCTCTGTGGGCTCCAGCCCCACAGGCCCACTGGTACTGCGCCTCTCCTAGAGAAATGAATACAGCTGAGTTTCAAATTCCAAAACTCAGGCACCAGTCCTGTCCCTCCTGGCACTGCCACATCCATGCATGTGAGCTGGGGACCTATACTAGCTGATGGCCATGTCAAGCTGGGCTTTAGTCTATGCCAACACCTGTCCCCATACTCCTGGCCCTAGGGCCTTAGTACCATGGAACCACCAAAGCAAACTTCTCGTATACTGATGTAGCCCCATGGAGAAGTTCTGCTCCATCCCTTCCTCTCACTCCTCTGCCCTTGCCCTCCCTTTCCCTGGACCTTTCAGTTCTCTGAACCTATGGCGGACAACCTTTGTATGTGCTTCCTGAGCATACTTCCTCTCCCCATGCCACTTGACCTGATTTTTCCTAGGCCTTCAGGTCTCAGCTTGGATACCCCCTCCTCCAGGAAGCCCTCTCTGACCCCTTGTCTGAGTCATATGCTTACTCTTAGCTCCTTCAGCCCCTGGCTTCCTCTATCCCAGAACTCAAGAGTGCCTTTCCCCTACTAGGATGGGCTCTCCCTGGCATGCAGTAAGTTCTGGCCTCAGGGATACTGGCTGAGCAAGGGAGGGAACAAATGTCAGAGCAAAATGGGATTGGGATAGGTGGTAAGGGAGAAACCAGATAGAAACTAGAGAAATGAATACAGATAAGTTTCAAATTCCTATCTGAGCCCTTCTCAGCCCTTCTCTCAGCCCTGGTCCTTGGGCCAAGTGTAGTTTCCTCCTTCTCTGATGGCACCAGCTAGCTCCCCCAACCCCCTGCCAAACGCCCCTATCTAAGCCCTTCTCTGAGGGCTGATTCAGCCAAGCCTCATCTCCCTGCCCTGAACCCTTTTCTTCCATGTCAAGAGAGTGGACTAAAGCAGACCAGGAGGCCATGGTCTCACATAATGGGCCCTATGGTTCTGGCTCTATCACAGACAAGCCCAGTCTCCATCTTGCCCAACCTCTGTGGCCCACAGGTATCAAGCTGGCTCTGGATGCCTCAGTTTTGCTCACTTGGCTATGCCTCATGCCCATGGCAAAATGAGGCCCTAGAGCAGCCTGGCCCCCTCCCTCTTCTTGAGGACAGGACCATAGCTATGACTCCTGTCATGCACACAGAAGTGACTGAGCAGACATGCTTGTAGCCTGAGGTCTGCTAGATACAATCACAGGATGTTTAGGAGAGAACTTCAGGCTTGAATGGGGCACCCAAGGCTGGGATGAGGCAGAAAAGTGTCCCATACCCTGAGGTCACTCCACAACCTGAAGTGTGACCAACCTTCCCCAACCCAAGCCTGGTGACGTCTTCCTGGTCTGGCATCACTGGGCAACTGAGTAAACTCTAGCTGGGTGAGTGGTAGCCCTAAGCCAAGACCCAGAAAATCCCTGCCCACTACAGGTCCTCTTTCTGGAATCTAGATTGTCTGGCATAGAGAAAGAGCCAACAGCAGGTGCTCATCACCTGAGAAACATGGGATAAGTAGGGACATTGCTGGAGAAGACTTCTGCTTCAGTCTCTGTTCTGGGTATCTGAGAGCCACAGTGAGGAAATCCAGTGCAGAGGACCCTGAAGACCAAGCCTGGCCTCTCTGCCCTAGGCTCTTTCGGGGCCAGCCCAGGTTAAGCAGTCAATACGTACCTGGGCCTCAGGGTCGATGTGAATCCTGTGTGCCTGAGCCTTGCTGTCTTCAGGGGTACTGGGCCAGCTCCTGCCCTCAGGCCTGTGGCATGAATTGGGATGGTCAGTTGTGTCTGCCCACCATGTCCATCATGCCTGGGGGCCAGGACCCAGAGGGGGCAGGCTCTAGGCCCAGAGACACCCAGGACCTGGCCTGCAGGTAGAAGGACACTACTTCAGTGCTTTCCCCTGCACCATAATGGTGATTGTCATGAAGGAAGCCACATCCTAGATCTTCCATCCTCCTGGGGCAAGTTGTATGCTGCCTTCCGCACCAGCTACCCCATCCCTCCCTGGTCTGGTTTCTGGAGAAGGCAGCAGAAGCCCTGCAGCTTCTCTACTCTTCTGCCCTCTCTGGGGCATACTCAGCTTAAAGAAGCCCAGCTCACAGCAGAGAAAGCCAGGCTTCACACAGTGATCAGTTAGAAGCTGATCCACTCATCCCTTGGGCATCCACAGCCTCTGGTGGGGTCTGGGGTCAAGTGTCCATGGGCTCTGGGGGAGGTGAAATGGAGGCTTTGAGGAGTGTGCCTCCCCTCCTGCTGCTGCTGCCGGCAGAGTCATCACCGATGTCTGCCCAGCCCAAATGGGAAACAGGCCATTAGGAAATTCCTGCTTCTCCATAGAAACCAAAAGCCAAACACCACTCAGGAGGGAGAAAAACATCGTAAACCTGCCATAAGCAGAGCAGGCAGGCCCAGAGGCTACAGGCCTGGGGCCCAGCCCTGCTGCTCAGTAGCCATGTGAGAAGACAGACCCCAAGGTTGCCTAGACCCAGCAATGGTAGGTGGCTGGAAGAGAGGCTGGTTAGAACAAAGGGTAATAATGTCCCCCAACCCAATCCAAGAGGCCCCCTGGGGCTTCCCGAGGTCTCACCACTGGCCCAGCAGCTTATCCCTACCCTCTCCCCTTCTCAGCTGAGGGTTTTAATAATCTGTCTACACCTGTAGTCCATACTCACTCTGCCCCTCCTCACCTCTGCCCATCCCTTAGACCAGGCACCCTCTAACTACAGCCTGTGGGGCACACGCAGCCCGCCTAGGACATTTATCTGGCTCGCCAGGTGTTTTTGCTGCCGTTGCCTGTCCTACTTAGCAGCCGACTCGTCCCGGGGTCTGCAGTCTGGCCCTCAATGGTCTGAGGGACAGTGAACTGGTTCCCTGTTTAAAAAGTTTGAGGACTCCTGCCTTAGCCCCCTGCAGGCTACCTCTCTACTTCACAGGCTTCCTGGCCTCAGAATCAGTGCTCTGTCCCAGGATATCCCCCTCCCCATGGTCTCTGTCTCTAGTCTCCTCAAACTAGGCTCCCAAGTTACTGACCTAACTCATAGCTCAAACTGTGGCCTCCACCTCCTCAGAACTCTGCTGGGACATACCTGGACCATCTCATGAGTCTATATCTCTGAAGTTATAAGGTCTAAGGGTCAGAGGGAACAAAGTGCTCAGAGCTACAAGGGTTACCGAGGGCACCAGACTGGATTTAAGAGCTTAGTCACATGACAGCCCCCTTCCCAAGATGAGCAGGTGGCTCCAATTCCTATCTTTAAATAAAATGACAATAACTAAAAGATAGGCTGTGCAAAGGTGCCTGGGAACACATGTGATGGGCAACTATCAGTCATACCAGGGCTAGAATTGATGACAGGAAGGTTCTGGACCTATAGAACGTGCCCAGGAAGTATGGGTTAGCATGGATTGCTGAATTCCTGGCTTTGGGCTCCTGAAAGAATGAGCCTAGTGGGGAGGCTGGGCCTTTACTACACTTTTCATTCTGTTGGAAGTCTGTGGGAGATTACAGCCCTCTGTACACAAGAGGGAAGGTAGGGAAGCTGGTCTGGGAAGGGACCTGGGAGTAGGAGCACACAGTAGCTGGCTCCAGCTGGCTCACCAATCTGATCCTCTGCAAAGCCCCACATTGTGTGTATATGGAGGGTGTCTTTGGGCCCAGGCATAGGTCCTGGTGTAGCAGGTCAGATAGGGAGCAGAGTCAGAGACCTTACAGGTAGGAAGTTGTCTAGGAGAAGAAGTGTTGGTCAGAGGGTCAGGTGGCCCCCACATCTTAATCCCCCAGAGTCATCCTGTATGAGGGTTAGAGATGGGGGATGGATGACAGGACTCAGGTTGTTACTCTGACTTAGCAGACCTGGTACAGCATCATCGTTCAATGCCTAGATCACAAGATTGTCCGTTTTCCTTCCCTGAGTGACCAGCTTGATGACCATTTCAAAGCAACATCTTATCCAACACCTTATTTAACCCTCAAACCAACTTAAAAAATGTAAAACCTAGTATAATCCCCACTTTGCAGATGAGATAACTGAGAATCAGAAATTAAATCATTTCTTGGAGCACCACAATTTTTAAGTGTAAAGCTAGGATTGGAACCCAGCCCTATGACAGTAGAGAATGTACTCTTACCTGCATCATGGCCAAGTGGCATGCTGGAGCTGAAATGCCCAGAGTGGAAAGCTCAGTGGACCTCTAGCTCTGACTATTCCTGGTTTGGAACAAATGAGCAGGGGAGGAAGGAAGGAAAGAAGACCTTCACCCCGCCACCCTGCCCTGACATCATTCTCTCTGGGAATCTCCTGACTCAGGCCCCTTTTAACTGCACCCTTCCCCCTTCCCCATTACCACTAGGGCTGCCCTTGTTTAGCCACACAGAGTCAAAGCCGGAGGTGAGTCAGGGCCCAGGAACCCAGCCAAGTGGGAGGCCTTAAAGGCCACTCGTGGGCAGAGCAGTGCTGACATTTCCCCCATCCAGCCTGTACCTCAGTCTGGGAGAGAGTGATGAATGTGATCTTGTTTTATGGAGAGGGAAACTCAGGCTGACAGAGGTCATCTGGGTACCTAAGATCCCAGAGTCTGGATGAGGACCAGCTCTGCTGAACTCCAAGGCTGGGGGCATCCTTACCATGTGCCAGGGAGAGCATACAAGGCCCTGGACTGGCAGCTGAGCACAGTCAGTGCTGAGGGAACAGCCAGGGGTCCTGACCCTGATCCAGACCTGGACATGAGTGAGGCATAAACAGGGGCTACCTCATAAGCCTTTGCACAGTGTTTAATGGCTCTGAGCCAATGGATCACCTCCTGCCTTGCCAGCTCTAAGGCATGGCTAACATGCTATGGTTTGAGGAGGCTTTGTTCACACACTTCCACAGGGGGTCATGGAAAGTCCCTGTTAACAGTAAATGTGCAGAGGCGAGCAGTTATGTCTGACTTCTGTGGATCTGGGTGAGGTGGGGGGCAGGGAAATATCACTCAGCTAGGATTAGGCCACCGGCTTGTTAGAGCTGAATAAAGACCCAGGACCTGAGCAAGGCTGAGGGAGCTTCAAGTGAACTTTATCTTACAACCACCTATGATGGGGCATAGATGGGGCTTAATGACCCCCGCCCTCCCCTCCATGATAGGCTGCACAGCGCTATGCAGTTCATGGCAGGAAGTCTGCTCAGATCCAGATTCAACCAGGACAGAGGTGTAGGCCATGGTGGGGACACCTGAAGCAGTGAAGCTGTGGAACTGGTAAGATTGGTCAGCAGCCACGTAGAGGGACTGGAGTCTTTAGGAGTGAGAGAGACCTAAGGTCAAACTTGGCTTCTCCATTCCCTTGCTGTGTGACTTTAAGCACCTTCCAATATTCCTGAGCCTCAGTTTTCTCATCTGTAAATTGGGATATATTATCTTTTTTTAAGTTGGTTTGAGGGTTAAATGAGATGTCAGACAAGCAAATGCTTAGAAATGGTCATGAAGCTGGTCACTCAGGGTAGGGGAAAGGATGGAAAGAAATACCCCAGAGGCTACTCAAGGTCTCATTACAGTTGCCTACAGTACTTGCCATCAGGGCCCCACACACTTCTAGCCTGGAGTTTAAAGGGGGCTACTTAAGCTACCCCTGGCTCTAAACAGTACCTGGCAGACCCCCATGAAGGTACTACTCCTTGAGACTGTGTCTGGTTGGGGTGCCCAGGAGCCAGCAGAGGGATGTGTGAGGCCCAGCTCACCCAGTATGCTGGCTGCCCACAACTATCCCTTCCTCCTCCCAGCCCAGCCTGCCCCATGCGCACCTGCTCACGGAGAGTGTGAGGTGATCATGGCAGCCCTTGATTCGGTTCTGTGCCTCCAGGTGTGTCATGAGCTCTGTGCTTTCACCATTGATGGCCTGGATCAGGTCTCCTGGGCACAGGGCAGCCAGCGCAGCCTTGCTGCCAGCATGGACCTGTGGTGGACAAGCCAGATGGGTTGGGCACAGTCATTATGTGGCCTCGCTGCAGGCTCTGCTCTAGACCTCCCCAACCTCAGAACCTGGCCAGTGTGACCCATGGGTAGGCAAGCCAGCATGACCTTGCTGCAAGCATGACCCATGGGTGGGCAAGCCAAGAGGCTGGTTGAGGGCCCCTGTGGTCCTTCTGCAGCCTCTGCTCTACACACCCCCACACTAGCACCTAAGGGCCTGAATAGGGCTTCCTCTGGGCTGGGACAAGTGGATGTCACTCTTGCAGCCTGCATGTGTATCCAAGGACATGCAAGGGACATACAGACACCTGAACAGGGCTTCCTCTGGGCTGGGACAAGTGGATGTCACTCTTGCAGACTGCATGTGTATCCAAGGACATGCAAGGGACATACAGACACCCAGGGATATATGTACTCACAGATACATATAAAGAATGGACATGTCACAAATACCCCACATAGACAATGTCCCACCCAGCCAAACTGCACAGCAGCCCCTTGACGTAATATTCAAACCTTAGTGACCCTGCCTTCCTACTTATTTGCTCTCACCTCTCATCCCCATCCCACATTCACCTCCACTACCCACACTCCATCCAGATCATCTGGATGTCACAGGCACCAGGTATCTCACCTCCATACTTCTGCAAATGCTCTTCCCTCTACCTGGAACATTCTTTCCTTTGACTCCCAAGCCCTCATCCTTTAGGTCTTAGCACAGAGGCCACTTCCTCTGGGTTCTCACAGTACCTGTGTGCCCCCGTTACCACTTCTGTGTCCTTACACTGTGAATGTTAATACCCCACTACAATTAAAACATGTGGTTTGAACGTCACCTCTCCAGGCAAGTGCCAGCTGACAGCCTGCCCTCTCCAGGGTCAGAACTCCACTTTCATTTCCCCAGCAAGACAAGCACTCAGGCTACCTCAGTGCCACTACTGACCCCACAAGGTCAAGCAGTATTTACACCTGGAAACTTATAATGTCCATCATTTGATAAAGGTCATGTGAGGCAGGTAGAGCTAGACTCACAGAGATCTGAATAAGCAACCAAGGGAAAAATTCTGCCAGAAGGTACACTTCATACTGTCCCAGCCTTTAGAAATAAATTTGAGACACCCTCACTGTTACCTAGCATTGCTGGCCAGTGGCCAGCTACTGCCAGTGGCCTCCTTCCTGTTGGTGGAGGTGGGAGCTCTTGGAAGCCCCACCAGGCTCAGCTCAACCAGTTTCCAGTATTGAGTAGACAAACCTGAGGTGCTGGCAGCTCCTTAGCTGGGGGCCTGGAGTAGGCACTGCCCGAGCTGAATGTTCCTCTTCTGAAGCATGACACCCTCAGCTAACCAGCTCACCGTTAATGTTCACTTGTAGAGCTGCACACATGTACAAGCCTGTCCTGGGGGACATGCTCACTTGGCACCATCCCTCCTCCCTGCAAGTCCTATTCATAGATACCTGCTGTATCCGTGGGCCTGGTTCTTACCTTACCCTTAACTAGCTCACAGCACCCTCTCAACCGTGGGTGAGGCAGAATCTGTTCCCTTCCCTATTTTACAGATAGAGAAAGAGAGCCTTGCAGGAAGGACACCTTGCCCTAGTCTTCACACTGGAGAGGAATTGTCTTCGGGGGCGGGGGCAAGCTATAGGATGACTCAGCCAGCACAAGGGGTACATTCAGACTTCTGTGGGTGGAGGAAGTTTCTTGAAAGCAGGAGTGGCTGGGATGCTGTCAGCTCTACTTAGCTAGGGGAGTTCTGGTCAGAGAGGGTGTAAGGCCAGGAAACCATGACTCTCCCAACCACCTTTATATGTATTATCTCATTAATCCTCAAGGCAAGCCCATTTCCTAGATGAGGAAACTGAGGTCCAAAGAAGTACAGTATCACTTGTGGATACAGCATTCTTAACTGATAAATAGCTGGGTCAGAATTTCACTGCAGGCCAACTGATTCCAAATTCAAACCTCATTCTTCTTCTTTTTTTTTTTTTTTTTTTTTGCAGTTTTTGGCGGGGGCTGGGTTTGAACCCACCACCTCTGGCATATGTGGCCAGTGCCCTACTCCTTTGAGCCATAGGCACCGCCCCAAACCTCCATTCTTAACCACCGTACCCTTTCTTCATAAGGGGAGAGAGAGTATTCCAGGTGGAAGGAGCCAGCATGTCTAACAGTTCATCTGGAGGGAGAGTAGAAAGAAGCCTGAGTGGCTTGAGCATAGCTAGTAGAGGAGAGTGGAAGATATGAAGTCAGAGAAGTGGTAGGGACTAGATCTTGCAGAGCCTTGTATGCCCAGGTGGGAAGCTGGTGTTTCTCCTGAGTAGCTGGGAACCATGGAGGGTTTTTATCAGAGAAGTCATAGGACAAAGTTGAATTCAGGCTGATCCCTCTAGTTGCTTAAGTGTAGGGTAAACAGACAGAAGGAAAGGAGATAGGAACAGTGAGGGCAGGTGGGAGGCTGGGACGTAAATCAGCCACTTACCTACAGCGGCTACATTCCCAGCTCCTGCTCCACCCAGCCCAGACACTGTGGTGGGCTGGGAGGCATAATCAGAGTCAGGTTATATATTTTCTCAGGTCCTGTCTCCACTCTGCTTCTCTGGGCACATTACCTTAATCTCTCTCTCTCTGTGTCCCTACTGATAATATGAGGCCAAAGGGAGTCCTTACTTCTAAGGGCTGCTATAAGGGTCACCTGAGATGATCAGCCTATGTAAAGCCCCCACAGGAGGCTGAGTATACAGCCATACTCATTCCAAAAATGGGTGGCTGCTGGGGAGGCTCTGGTACCAACATCCATCAGGGTGGGACCTGGCATGGCACAGATGCTCGGCCAAGGCCAGAAATCATTAGTTTGTGGGGAAGAAGCCCGGGACAGGGCTCCTGGGGGATCCCTGAGGCTTCATGGGCCCAAGATTGCAAGTCCCCAACACTACCTGGCAGCCTGCCTCCTGCCTGGATCCTGAGTAGGGAAGGCCCTGGAAGTATGGGAGGGGCTGGTTCTTGAGCCCCTCTTGGTGAAGACACTCCCACATATTATTAGTCCCTATAGACCTGCCCCTGAGGTACCTGCTAGGCAAGCTGTGGCCTGTGCCTCTCCAGCCCTGTAAATCTCCCCAGATCCCACCCAAATCCAGGCTCAGCCATCCTGGCTCCTTGAGCCTGAGCTGCTGCGTGTGACTTTGGGGGATGAGGGGAGCTCTTCCTGGCAAACCGTCTCCCAGACTGTCTGTCTGCCAGGGGCCTGCATCCCCAATCAGCTCCAAACAAGGCCGCTGCTGCAGCAGCGGCCGCTGTGACGTGACGTGTGGAGGCCTGTGGAGGCCTTCCCTCGGCAGGCAGGCGGCCGCGTGGGCAACAGATGTCTCAGCTCCCTCTCGCCACTGAGCCTGTCAGCGGCCTCACGCCCAGGGTGCCTGGCCGGCCTGCCTAGAGCCCCCACCAGTGCCCTCAGCAGACACTCAGCATGACACACGGGCAGACCCAGAGGCTCACACATGCACATACCCAGCAGGGATACCTCAGGAAGTGGGAGATGAAAGGCTCCAGGACAGACGTGTTGTAGGCCCACCTCATTTGGCCCCAGGGACCTGGCGGTGAGGGTAGATGTGGAAAGCCTCCTAGGACAGCTGGGCCTGCCTGTCACCCGGCCCCCATTATGGGATTCCATGATTCCATGCTCCACCCGGTGCCCACCCTTCCCTAGAACTGGAAAGAAGTCTCTGAAAGCCCAGCCAGCTTGGCCCAGCCCCCATGTTGAGAGGTGGCAGTAGGGTGGGGGAAGGTGGTTCTCATCTCCTCTGGCACAGGCCCCCAAAGACCAGAGCAGCCTGTGGGGGAGCAAGAGATGGCCTTCAGACCCTCCCAGATTGCCTCCTCCACTTCCAACAGACTGGGAGCCACCAGGGGCAGGGCATGAATTCTTTCTCTTCTATTTCCTAGAGGGAATCTGAGTTCCCTCTTCTGCCCTTCCAGAGAAGGGGATACCTCATCCCTGTCTCAGGGATCACCAGTACAGTACAGGAGCCCCAGGCTCCTGTCTCCCCTAGACTGGGCACCACCTCTGACAGGGTCTGAGCCCCCTTCTCTTCTCCTCTGTCCTCAGACTGGTCACCGCCTAAGGGTTGTATCCTCTCCCCTTCCCCTTCAGTCCAAAGCCTGGGGCAAGGTATGGCCCTAGGAAACTTGAGGAGCTGGGCTGAGGTTATCCTGGCCCTGGCCTTGTGTTGTCTTGTGGGGAAGTGTCTCACAACCTCATAGGCAAGTCTCCCTTTCCCCTGGAAGCCAAAAATTCCTCCTGGTCACTTCCCCTTAGGGTGACTGAGGTCATGAATGAGAGACTGACTAAAGCCCAGAGTCTCTTTCTCTTCTCAGATTGGAAGATGACCTTAGATCTCCCTGGGGTCATCCAGCTCTGCTAGCAGGGATCCTTGATGCGGGAAGAGGGTTTTCAGTCATTTTTTGTCCCAAATCTTCAGGAAGATTGGGTCTTAGGAGAGTTTCTGTACCTCTGTAGATCTGTCTGGCCCCCTGGCGCATGTCTGTGGGTCCTTCTCTGGCCCATGGTGACTCCCCCTAATCAAGGCCGGAGGGGAGGCTAGTGTGCGGATTCTTGGGGAGAATCCCCACAGGATAGGGCAGGCAGGCCCAGCAGGAAGGGGTGGGGGTTGGGGCGGCTCTACCCGGCCTGGAAGCCGGCTCTACAGCTGGCGGGACCAACTCTCCGTGTTCAAGCCTCTGACACGTCGGGGATCTGGGTCCCGGGGGAGGGGATCCCTAGGACCTGGTCTCAGACCTGGGACCGCCCTGCCGCCCCGCTGCTGGCGGACTCACCCGCGAGATGGTGAGGGGTGCGCTGAAGTCCCGGCCGCCCACCAGGCGGAAGCCCCAGGGCGAAGGCCCGCGCAGGGTCACGGAGTGG